TAGACAGATAGACAGACAGACAGACAGACAGACAGACAGACAGACAGACAGACAGACAGACAGACAGACAGACAGATAGATAGATAGATAGATAGATAGGCCCGGAACACTGCGGCCGTTTATGACGCCTTGTCTGTGCACAGTTTGCCTCATGGATAAATCTCAAGTGTCAACCTGCGTCTACGTCACTAACGTGAATGGAATGACCCAACAAAAAGGCGCAAGGGGAGGGGGGGGGGTGCAAGCTATCCAGCTATCCCTTAGTTAGCACAGAATCATGTATGTCTCGAAGGCAGTTACAGCGAGAAAAATTGACTGACAGTATAGGAATCTAGCTTTGAAGTTATATTTGTTGTTTGTTGGGGTTTTTTGTTTTTTTCTTCGGGTAAACAGAAGCACATCGACACAAGAATGGCCATTAAGTGCTGGGAAAAAGTAAGACAGGCAGACAGAAACAACAGAGGGAGAGTAAAGAAGTAGGGCCTACCAGTGGCGCCCTCCAAACATCCACCTGAAGCTACATTTAAAATATAAAAAGTCTGTTTTTAAAAGTATTAGTAAGGGTTTACGGCGCTTGCAACTGCTTAAGTCCATATGAGCACCAAGGGGTGGATGTCAACAGAGAAGTCCAAACGGGGAATCAGACTTACTCTGCTTACCTCTCTTGCCTCAACAGCACAGAGTCTGCTTCGACTATCAAGCACCCCGGAAATAACAGTTCTCAAGAGAGTGAGAAACATACAAAAGAAGTAGAGGAAAAATGACGATAGTAAAGATGAGAAAAGAAAAAAAACAGCAATTCCCCCTATGTTGTTCCGGCACAGTATAAGCATGACATTCATAAATCAGCCCATTTACAATTCTACTGTGCATGTTAATGTCCCCCCTTTTTTGAATGAACTAAAGACACTTCAATCAATGGCATTGCTCTTGGGGGGAGGGGGGGGGGGGTCAATTTGACCAATACTAAATAAGCTTTGTGTGCTTGTGTTTCATCCCATTTACAATTCTACTGTGCATGAGAACATGTTTATATTGCCCCTTTGGGAATGGCCTAAAGATACTTCAGTCAGTAGCACTGCCCCTGGGAAGGGGGAGGGGAGGGGGAGTCAATTTGACCAGTAGTAAATAAGATGTGAGTGTGTGTTTGTGTTTCAGGGCAGGAAAACGGTGCGCCAGATGACCGTGGATGCGTGGGCGATGGAACATGACGGCATCACACAGGAACTCTACTTCCTGCCCAAAGACCTTCCTCTGAGGCGGGGAGGCAACTTTACTTTCTCACAACAACCGCCAGGTGGCAGCAGCGGTAGCAGCAGCAGCAGCAGCAGCTCGTCCCCTCGTGGCCGCCGTCGGTTCCTGCCGTACCCTGTGCTGGTGGGGATGTTCCTCAAGAACAACACGGTGGTGGGGCCACGTGACCTCTCTAGGCTCTTCCGGGAGTTCTTCTCGCCGGACGCCATGCAGTGGGAGGGAGGCACCGGCCGGAACAGCCACTGGGACACCGGCGCCGCACGCCCTACTAGGCAGCCCGGAGACACTTCGCAACAGCAGCAGCCGTCCCGGAACCCCAATTTCCCGGACTGGAGTCAGCTGACCACGAGTGACCAGCTGGCGTGGGGCGCCCGCCTGGAGCGGATGCTGGACCGGAACATCGGCCAGAAGTTGATCAACGTGTTCCACTACCACCCGGAGGTGCTGGAGAGCGCCAACTTCCAGGTGTCGCTGTGCTTCGCGCCTGAGGAGCAGAGCCAGGTGATGATTGTGGTGCAGGCGAGCTACGAGGAGAACGTGGTCACGCGCTTCGCAGCCTTCTCCAACGCCATGCGCCACGCCATCGCCGAGACGTCGGGACTGTCAGCGGTACAGGTCAGCAACCTCATCCCCGTGCCGCTCAAGAGCAAGTCCGTGGGCCTGGACGCGACCTCCGTGACCTTCACCCTGCTGGGCAAGCCACCCGTGAGGGGACTCGGCGACCAGGCGTCGCTCACACACGCCAAGTCTAAGCTCACGTCCGCCATACAGAGGGGGATCAGCTTCAACGTGCAGTACAGCGAGCACTCAAAGTCCTTCATGGTGGACAAACGGATGTACCGGCTGGACTACGACAAGTACAAGCTCCCCACCGGCTCCTTCGGTACGCAGAACAACAGCAGCAGCAACAACAACAAAAAATACGACGACAACAACAACAATGTGGACCCAGCCACCGGACTCTACAACGCGGGCGCCGGGAAGAAGCAGCCCGCCTCCACAAAGGAAGCTAGCGGCTACTCGGGGGCTGCCGTGGCTGGGGTGGCCATCACGATGCTGCTGGTGGGCATGGCTATCAGTCTGGGCGGGGCTTTCTTCCTGTACCGGCGCCGGCACCCGGGCGAGTCTGTCATCCCGTACAGGCACCAGACGTAGGGAGGGTGGAAAGTGGTGGAGGAGGAGGAGGAGGAGGCGAGAGAGAGGAAGGGCCGGATAAGGCGAAAAGGGTGGTGGAGGAGGCGGAGGAGGAGGAGGGGGGAGAAGGAGAAGAGGGGAAAGGGGGACAAAGGACGATAGGGTGTACGAACTTGAGTTTGTGGAGGAGGAGGAGGAGGAGGAGGAG